AGCCGGAGCCAGTGCCCAGCGACGGAAGCCGGAGCAGCGAGGATGGAATGGTGGCTGCCCTATCGCGGTATTAACTGGAAGAGGAAACCTGTTGGGACTGGAAGGTGGAATGTGACAGATATCAATCAAAGTGGAGGCTACACAGACACGTACGTATGTGAAAATCAGCAGGCCCAGCTGCGGAGATCTTACTCCTTTGTGGGTGCCCATGTATACATTTTCCTGTTTCTCCTCCTCAGACACATCATGGTATAAGGTACATTATCTGTAGCACTTTGCTTTCTTTCACCATTAGGAAATAATATTCTCACACATTTCTGAATGCATACCTGGTTCACATTTGATTTAGCCACTCTACCAAAAGGCTTTGAAATAAATCACAAGAGCACAGAATCTCAGATGTGGAGGGACCGTCCAATCCACTGTACTCATTTACAAAGGACACAGGAGCATCTAGGAAATGAAACGATTTGCACAAGAGCAGAAAAGCAGGTCATGACAGAGCCAAGACCTGATACTTTCCTCACTGTAAGAAAGTTGGATTTGAAAACACATACCTGACGAATGTGCAGGAAGCAGGTTCTCAATCGGGTGGACCTGGATGTCCTGTAAACAGCCAGAAATTCTTCTGTTCTTCATCAAACTCCTGCTCCTGAAGTAAAATGAGTAGTTATATACTACATGGAATAATATCTATTTTAATGTAATTTTAAAATTATTTTTCATATTATTTATTTTGTATGCATTCACTGAACATCATCACAGCAGACAAGATGCAGTTTCCCAACCAGAGTACATTGTATTCCTGCCTTTCTGCCTCCATTTCTGCCTTTCTTGAAACTAAAAAACATATTAAAAAATACATGGAATAATATTAAGAATATTACTTTGGGACCAGCAAATGGCTGGTAGTGGTTACGTTGCTCGACTCCCACATGGCCAACCACGGTTCAAGTATCAGACCCTGTGGCTTCAAACTCACGCTGGGTGCGTGTGAATGCATGCCCAAAATCCCAAGAGGAGAATGGAGGAGAAGGGAGCAGTGTTGCCAACCCCCTGAAGGGAGATTTCTTACTTTCTGTCTCTTTCTCTCCGGCAAGCACACACACCCTTTAGCAAAAATATCTCTAAAAAAAAAAAAAAAAACTTTAACATTCTCTAAAGAAAGTTGGTATGCATGTGTGTTTTCCTTGGGAAATTTTTCATCAAGGGCAAATGATCTGGCTCGTTGAATAAGAAAGAATATTACTATTTCAAGGCATTCTAAACATGTTTAATTACACAGGATTAGCATTTATTGAGCACCACTATTCACAGGCTCTGGATACTGAGATGAACATGCAACGTGGCTTCTGGGATCCTTGAGCTTAAAGTCTAGAGAAAGAGAGAACTTAGGCAAGTAATTGCAGTAAAGTGACGAGTGCTACGAGTGTGGGATGCTGTGGTGGGCCTGGAGAATGTGAGTCCCAAGGAGTTGCAGGGTGGGCTGTCCTGGAGCAGTGACCCTGAAGGATGAGTAGGAGCTGGCCCAACAGGGGGAGCCTTGGGAAGCAGGGAACAGTGTCTCAGGCAGAGACACCAACACGTGGGAAGGCGTGGTGACAAGCATAACCACTTCACATGCAAAGAACCAAACAGGTCGGAGGATGGCAGTCTGTGACGAAAGAGAGAGCGCAAAGGGCGAGGCTGGGAGGTCCACCAGGGCCAGCTGAGGGCGACCTGTGCGCCAGTCAGAGAAGCTTGATTTCACCCTGGGTAGGAATTGTGCAGGGAAGGGTTTAAACAGGGAAGTGATCTAGGTAAATACCAATCTAAGTGAAGAGCTGCTGCACGTGCGAAGCACACTGCCTGTGAGCTCGGCGGAAGCACGCCAGGAGGAAGGGGGTCCGTCTCCAGGTGCTCTTCTTGCCCCTCTTGCCCCTCGGCCTACAAACACGCGTCCCATCTCCCTCGCGTGTGACTGGCTGCCTAGCTGTTACTCCACCTTTCTAACTGCATCTGGAAAAGGGAGCCTACTTTTTCTGCTACCAGAGAAAACGGCCTACGTCCTGCCACTCATCTAGGAATTTTCCACACAGGTGCTCCAGCTCATGGTGCGACTGGGACTGCTCGGGCAGTGGCCCGGACTGAGCCGACCTAGTGGACCCTCTGAAGTCTGCCCTGACAGGACACTCCAGCACTGTTGGCCACTCAAAGAGAGACACCATTTGTTAAAAGACTGTTGGATAAAAGCACTCCATCAACCGTAGCATATTATTTCAAACATAAATTGTCCCTGTGAATTCCTCCACAAGAACACAGAAATACAAGTAGCAATACGGAAAGGAAATACCAGTTCTCAAATATTACAGTTTCTGTATTTAGGGGTAGGAGGAAGAGGTCCCTTATTACAGTAAGTCTAAGCTAGACAAACTTATTCTTGCTACACTGTCTGGTTAAACACTGTTTAAACCCAAATAAAGAAAATGCTTGTCACATTCCTTTCAAAGAGTTTTTACTTAACCTCAGGGGAAATTTACTTTTAACTGTCAACAGTACGGATCATAATTTATAGGCAGCCAATCCAGTCTATTTTATTGCAGAACAACTGTGGCATATCATTGCCCAGGAGCAGTTCTATAATTAAGAATCTGTCAGTGTTTCCATTACCTGCAGGCATTCTTGGAGTTTGCAATTCTGTCATAAACATTCTCACAAGGCTGAAACTTCATACACAAGGTCTCAGACTGAGAGCAATTCATTTTTTTTTACAAATATGATACTTTTAAATTATAGACGTTCGCAAAAACATCTCAGGCAAATGAAAACACCCAATTTCAAAATCTTAGAAAATATTAAGAAAAGTTCTGATTTTTTGGTAACATTTTAAACTTCTGTTGATTTCCTAATTGTCAGCCTAAAAGCCAGCAGGGAATAAGATATTAGACACCAATATTCCATAGCCTAAACATTTTTTTAAAAAACATTTTTGCTGTAGGTCACATCCGCTCACTGAAGAGAGACAGACAGACAGTGAGAGAGAAAGTGAGAAATCACACCTCAGGAGCAATGGCCACATCACAATCCCTTCTCCCTTCCCCTGCTGGGACTCTGGGCATGCGGGGACATGTGCATCTGGTGTGACTTTCAAGCCACCAGGTCTGTGACTCAAACCAGTCGGCCATGTGCAAGTCCAGCACCTTAATCACCATGACACTTGCTGGCCCCAATAGGCTAAAATGTTAATGCTCACTAATTATTAATGCTTATAGTGTGATTCAGAAGTTTATATCTGTTTACAATAAAAATAAAAATAAAGCAATCTAGCATTCCTAAAACCCAAAGGAACTTGCAGATCCTCCTCTGATGAGTGTGTCGGTCTGGTGTGAATTTGGAGGAGGTTTACGTTACTCTAGGTTGCTGTAAATGTCCCAACCCCTAGTCGCCCGATTCCACTTCATCGCATTCCAAGTGTCTCATAGTCTGCCATCTATGGCACACCTGCCCACCTCACGGGCACTTCACCCACATCACCTCTATGGGTGTAACCACCTCACAGCGTGGGCAGCCACTGCTCTCGCTAGGTGACCTGACTCAATCTTTTTTACTTTAAAATAAATTATTACAAAACATATGATAGGGAGCACGTGTCTGTGTACATAAGAGAGAGAATGAGAGAGGAACAGCCTTGACAGGGACTCGTGATGGGAGAGGAACAGCCCGGACAGGGCCCTCCTCCCCAGCTCTCTAGCAGCTCGGGGACTTGGCACCCATGTGCACACCAGCATGTTCTCAGGCCCACCTGGGATCTGAGGCCGTGTCAGCATGTGGCTCCCAGCACTGCAGTCCAGTAAGTTACGGACTGCGCCACTTGGCTGGCTTTTTTTTCCTCTCCCTCTTTTTTAAAGTTTATTTATCTATTCTGTGAGACCACACACACACATACACACCCCTGACAGGCCTCATCACACTGCAATCCCCCTGCCAACCCCAACCTTTCTAGCCAGCTAGGATCATGAGCTCTTCCAGCATGTTCAGGTCAAATCAGGATCCGAACCCTAGGCCTTTCCAGTTGGCTCCAGTATCGTGTAGACGTGCCCCATCGCCTGTGCCACTGCAGCTGGGCCGACTTCACTTAATCCTAATGACAAATCTCTGTAGAACAAGCACGTGTGACTGTCCATTTTACAGAGAAGACAAATGAAGCCCGGAGATGCTAGGTCACTTGCCCACGCTCACCCTGAGCCGACTAGAACCAGGTTTCTGATACCGGAGCCATGACCTTGTCCCTACCCTCCGCTGCAGGCTGTACAGACATGCTCCTTCACTCAAGGAGCTCAGATCTGTTTGAAGGCTGTTGTTTGTATTTCTTTCAGGACAATGCTTTGTGTCTTAGCAATGCCTTATTGTAGCTTAGCAGTTAGAATATTGCAAAGAAAGCAAAAACAATAGGGAAAAGGTCACTCCACGGTGCAGTGTTTCCGTTTGTGTGTGTGTGTGTTGTGTATTTTTTTTTACAAGGTCTTGAGACGTCATGATCATCCTGCCTCAGCACCTAGAGTAGCTGGGACCACAGGTACACAACCTCCTGCCAGGCTTTCTAGAGAGGGTTGGGAATCAAACCAGGTCTCCCAGGTGGCCTCAGCCTGCCAAGCAGCAGCGCACAGCACGTTACCGTGACTGGGCTCAAAGCGGTTCCATCTCTCAGAGAATTATGAATGAGTTCAAAATTATGAATGCGTTTAAAATAACTGGCCCCATAAAGAGTAGTAGAGTACTATGCCTAGGGAGCTGGGTCCTACACAGTCGACTAGGACTCCAATTCCGGCCCAGCAGATTGAAAAATATGCTGGCCACGTACTTGTGTGCGTGCACCAAGTCCCGATGGGATGGAGAAATACAGGAGATGGCACGGCAACGGTGCAGTGTTTCCGTTTGTGTGTGTGTGTGTTGTGTATTTTTTTTTACAAGGTCTTGAGACGTCATGATCATCCTGCCTCAGCACCTAGAGTAGCTGGGACCACAGGTACACAACCTCCTGCCAGGCTTTCTAGAGAGGGTTGGGAATCAAACCAGGTCTCCCAGGTGGCCTCAGCCTGCCAAGCAGCAGCGCACAGCACGTTACCGTGACTGGGCTCAAAGCGGTTCCATCTCTCAGAGAATTATGAATGAGTTCAAAATTATGAATGCGTTTAAAATAACTGGCCCCATAAAGAGTAGTAGAGTACTATGCCTAGGGAGCTGGGTCCTACACAGTCGACTAGGACTCCAATTCCGGCCCAGCAGATTGAAAAATATGCTGGCCACGTACTTGTGTGCGTGCACCAAGTCCCGATGGGATGGAGAAATACAGGAGATGGCACGGCAACAACCCACAGACAGATGCTTGCTCTCTCTCTCATGTGACCTCTGGCAATTAAACAAAGTCTGTATGTTCAAAACAAGAAAGACCTAAAAATGGCTTGAAAACTCAATGAGATTCTGACCTTTGGCTGAAGGCAATGTAAAACACCAAAAAATAATTATTTTAAACAGAAAGATGCTGCTCTTTCACATGCAAGGGGGAGGCGATATGCACAGCAGTTAAGAAAACCAGGAGCTCTGGAAGCACCGGAACCTGGATTTGAGTGGCAGCACTTCCACCTGTCAGCTCTGGTTTTGAATGAGTCGCCAAACCTTGTCAAAGCCTCAGTTTCTTCATCTATAAAATGAGGGTAACAGCAGCACCTGCTTCATAGATCTATGGTACTAAATGAGGTGTTTAGCAAGCATTCAATAGAAGTTCCTTTGTTTGTTTGTTTGTTTACTTATTTATTTCTTCCATAAGAGAGAGAGGCACCCCCAGTTGGGTCTTCATGCTCTGGTGCAGCCCAGCCTCAGCCAGCCAGCATCACAGGTGTGAGTGCATGCTTGGGGCATACAGGGAGGCCTTGGGATGCGAACCTGGCCCTGCCATGTGGCTTCAGCCTGGAGGAGCACTGCCTCAGTGCTGCACCACTGCACTGGCCTCAGTGAGAGTTCTTGCTTGTGACGTTTCTGTGGAGGGATGAGCGCTATCAGCCCTTACAACCTGCACATCCCTAGATCCCTCCCTCGAAGTGCTAGACCCAAATATACAGATGATGGCCCCGGGAACCTCAGACTCCTCAAGTTCTAAAGCAAACTCATTTCACCCTCCCCCCTGGGGCACCCCTTTCCCCCAGTCAGTCCCCAGCTTAAAACCAGGAGTCCTCCTTGAGCCCTGCGCTGTCTCAACCCCACAACTAGTCACCAAGGCTCACTGATTCTGCATCTTCAACTTGTGTCACACCGACTCTCCTCCCAGTCCTTCTGCCTGTCTTTGGATTAGGTCTTTATCAACAGCTTCTGCTTCTACTTTTCTAAATTTCTGGCCTGAGGATAGGCAAGCATTTTTTATTCTTTGCTTCCTCGAGACATGGCAGACAATAGTCACTAGAGAGATCTTTGTTTAAAACCAAACTAAGCAGGGCTGGTTCCACATCCTAGTTGGTTAGGGGAACTGAATACCATGTGGCCGACCACAGTTTGAATCCTGTCCTTCACAGCCTGAAAAACACACCAGGTGTGTGTGCGTGCACCCAAGATCCCAAGAGGATGGAAAAAAGAAAAAGAAAGGATTGTGGTGTGACCACATCCCACTGGGGGGATGCTTTCTCCTTCACCCTGCCTCTCCCTCTCTGAATAATGCATGTGCTCTCTGGCAATTAAAAAATACACAAGGGGGACCAGCAGTTGGTGTAATGGCTATGTCACTGAATTCCCATGTAGTCAACTGTGGTTTGAGTCCCAGACCAAGTGGCTTCAACTCATGCCGGGTACATGTGCGTGCATGCCCAAGATCCTGGGAGAAGAATGGAGGAGAAGGGATTGCGGCGTGGCCATCTGCCTGGGAGGGGATTTCTCCCTTTCTGTCTCTCTTGCTGTCTCAGTCTTTCTGGCAAGCACACATGCTCTATAGCAAAAACTTCTCCAAAAAAAAAAAAAAAAAAAATACACAAGGAAAACAAAAACAAGGGACTAAATTGGTTCTAAGACCAAGGGCTTTCTAAGATACCATTTGCCTCTCTATAATGTACGCATCTTAGGTCTAAGCAGAACAAATTATTCCTTGAAAAGCCATCTATTCACTGTGTTAATAAACGGTATGTCGTACACAGAAGTCTCCCATGACCATGATTGATTCTTTGTGGTGCTCACACTAACTGCACTGCATTTAAAATTCTATAACTTGCAATAAAATATCATAGAATATGCCAAGTTTTTGAGAAAGGGTAATTTAAAAGTAATAAAGACTGTTCATTTTTATAGGAGATTAGATTTATACTACTCTGAGTTGCTCTTAAGATGTCTTTGACGAAATATTGAACATTCCGGTCCCTTTTCTAAATGACTGATAAACAATGCAATGCCTCAGTGCTGTAGTTTGACCACTAATACATTAGTCCTCATATTTCTGAGTTCCCCTCACATGCATATCCATCAAGACAATAGTTCTTTTCAGATAAGGAAATGATAGGTGTATACACCCAGACCAAGAAAACCAATAACGAAAATGTCTTTACCTCCTTCTAGAAAATGAAGAAACTGGTGCGTTTGTAACATCAGGTTCCCATTCATCTTCAGGATCACAAAAAACTTCTTCACCCCTGTTACTGCCGTTATTCTAAGACCCACAAAGTATATAGTTTTCATTAATTATGGGCGAGAAAAAAATGCTTAGCAACTCAGAAAAAAGTTTAAATACTTTGATATATTTAAAACATAAAATTGAGAAAATTACAAGTTGTCTGATAAAAGCCTAAAAAATCCTATTTCTGGGCTGGCAGGTGGCATGGTGACTAAGGTTCTGGACTCACATGTGGTCAACCACAGTTTGAGTACTGGATCTGGTGGCTTGCTTTCTCACTTTCCCGCTATCGTTGGTTAAACTTAAAAAAATGATAATATTAATAATAACAATAAAAACATTCTTTTTAAAAAAATCACATTCCTGATGAAATTAATCAGTGTTCACATACCAAAAAATCACATTTATCTCCACTAATATGTAAAATTAATATGTGTCGATTTAAAAATATTTTTGAAAACACTACTGAAAGGGGAACAGCAGGTAGCATAATGGTTAGTTATATGGTTGGACTCTCGTGTAGTCAATTGCAGTTTGAGTTCTGGACTTGGTGGCTTAAAATTCACACTGGGTGCATGGGAGTGCATGCCCAAAATCCTGAAAGGAGAATGGAGGAAAAGGGACTGTGGCGTGGCCATCTCCCCCGGGTTGTGATTTCTCACTTTCTGTGTCTCTGGCACATATGCCCTATAGCAAAAATGTTTCTTAAAAAAAAAAAAAACGGGGGCCGGCACGTGGCATGGTGTTTAAGGTGCTGGACTCCCACTTGGCCAACTGTGGTTCGAGTTTCGGACCTGGGAGCTTGCTTTCCCACTCTCCCTCTCTCTTTCTGGTTGAATTAAAAAATAATAATAATAAGTGAAATAAAATAATTCTTAAAAAAAAACACTACTGAAGGAAAAAAGAAGAAAACCTAAACACATCATGCTAGGGATTAAAATAAAAAAGAGCTATTAATAAAAGGAACAGAAATCATTAAGTAATTCAAAAACAATAAACTTGATGTTTAGAAAACATTTTTAAATAAAAACAAAAGCAATAAAATCCTTGAGGAAGAAAAAAAAAGAATAATCTGTCAATGTTAAGATGTAACCACTTCCTGGGACCATCAAAGGGCCAAATGGTTATGCTGCTGGGGTAATTTCACGCTTTCTATCTCTGTCTCTCTGACAAGCACACGGACCCTATATTAAAAAATTCCTTGTGACTGGCAAGTGGCGTGGTGGTTTAAAGTGCTGGACTCTTACATGGCCGACCGTGGTTCAAATCCCGAAAATAGTGGCTTGATTTCTCACTTTCCCTTTCTCTCTGTCTGATCAAACTGGAAAATAACAATCATGAAGTTAAATAATTCTTTTAAAAAAAACTCCCTAAAAAATAAAGTAACTACTTCCTGATTATTTATAAATAGATCATGATAATAACCAATATTCTAATTTAAATATTTTAAATAATATCAATTAAAACTCTAGCAAAATTCCATATAGAGCTTGATGCAGAGAGGATATAACTATATTTTTAAAAAGTAAAAGAACTGCAGTGAATAGCTAAAAGTAAAGAGTAAGTTAAATGAGAGGTTAACTCATCCACTAGGTTTTGTTTTGTTTTATTTATTTATTTATTTATTTATTGGTAGAAGTTTTTGCCCTAGGGTGTGTGTGCTCACTGGATAGAGAGACACAGAGATAGTAAGAGAGAAAATAAAAAATCTCCCTCCGAGAGGATGGCCACTCCACAATCCCTTCTCTTCTATTCTCCTCCTGGAATCTTGGGCACACATGGACATGTGCCCAGCATGAGTCTCAAGCCACCAGGTCCAGTACTCAAACTGCAATCCACCATGTGGGAGTCCAGCAACTTAACTGCTATGCTACCTGCTGGTCCCATTTTATTTTTACCTATCAGAAAATGCATGTGCTCCCCAGAAAGAGACAGAGAGAAAGGGAGAAAAGGAATGTACTTTCAAAGGGTGTGATCACATCACAATCTCATCTCCACCATTTGTGCATTCTGTCAGAATCTGAGACATGCATGTACATGTGTGCCTAACGTGTTTTTCAACCTGCTTAGACCAGTGTTCAAACTGTAGTTGTCTGTGTGGATCCAGGCACCTTAACCACCAGGCCATAGGGCTGGCCTACTGACTAAGTTATTTTTTAAAATTAATTAAATTATTATTTATTTTATCTTAGAGGTTTTTGCTATAGGACATGTGAGCTTGCCAGAAAGACAGAGGGAGAGAGAGACACAGAAAGTGAGAAATCACCCCCCAGGGGGGATGGCCACGTTGCAATCCCTTCTCCTCCATTCTCCTCTTAGGATCTTGGGCACGCATGCACATATGCCCAGCATGAGTTTAAGCCACCAGGTCCGGGACTCGAACAGCGGTTGACTACATGGGAGTCCAGCGACATAGCCATTACGCCAACTGCTGGTCCCATTATTATTACTTTTTAATTTTGCTATAGGGTATGTGGGCTCACCAGAAAGAAATAGCAAGAGAGAGAGACAACGAACAAAAGCAATAAAATCCTTGAGGAAGAAAAAAAAAGAATAATCTGTCAATGTTAAGATGTAACCACTTCCTGGGACCATCAAAGGGCCAAATGGTTATGCTGCTGGGGTAATTTCACGCTTTCTATCTCTGTCTCTCTGACAAGCACACGGACCCTATATTAAAAAATTCCTTGTGACTGGCAAGTGGCGTGGTGGTTTAAAGTGCTGGACTCTTACATGGCCGACCGTGGTTCAAATCCCGAAAATAGTGGCTTGATTTCTCACTTTCCCTTTCTCTCTGTCTGATCAAACTGGAAAATAACAATCATGAAGTTAAATAATTCTTTTAAAAAAAACTCCCTAAAAAATAAAGTAACTACTTCCTGATTATTTATAAATAGATCATGATAATAACCAATATTCTAATTTAAATATTTTAAATAATATCAATTAAAACTCTAGCAAAATTCCATATAGAGCTTGATGCAGAGAGGATATAACTATATTTTTAAAAAGTAAAAGAACTGCAGTGAATAGCTAAAAGTAAAGAGTAAGTTAAATGAGAGGTTAACTCATCCACTAGGTTTTGTTTTGTTTTATTTATTTATTTATTTATTTATTGGTAGAAGTTTTTGCCCTAGGGTGTGTGTGCTCACTGGATAGAGAGACACAGAGATAGTAAGAGAGAAAATAAAAAATCTCCCTCCGAGAGGATGGCCACTCCACAATCCCTTCTCTTCTATTCTCCTCCTGGAATCTTGGGCACACATGGACATGTGCCCAGCATGAGTCTCAAGCCACCAGGTCCAGTACTCAAACTGCAATCCACCATGTGGGAGTCCAGCAACTTAACTGCTATGCTACCTGCTGGTCCCATTTTATTTTTACCTATCAGAAAATGCATGTGCTCCCCAGAAAGAGACAGAGAGAAAGGGAGAAAAGGAATGTACTTTCAAAGGGTGTGATCACATCACAATCTCATCTCCACCATTTGTGCATTCTGTCAGAATCTGAGACATGCATGTACATGTGTGCCTAACGTGTTTTTCAACCTGCTTAGACCAGTGTTCAAACTGTAGTTGTCTGTGTGGATCCAGGCACCTTAACCACCAGGCCATAGGGCTGGCCTACTGACTAAGTTATTTTTTAAAATTAATTAAATTATTATTTATTTTATCTTAGAGGTTTTTGCTATAGGACATGTGAGCTTGCCAGAAAGACAGAGGGAGAGAGAGACACAGAAAGTGAGAAATCACCCCCCAGGGGGGATGGCCACGTTGCAATCCCTTCTCCTCCATTCTCCTCTTAGGATCTTGGGCACGCATGCACATATGCCCAGCATGAGTTTAAGCCACCAGGTCCGGGACTCGAACAGCGGTTGACTACATGGGAGTCCAGCGACATAGCCATTACGCCAACTGCTGGTCCCATTATTATTACTTTTTAATTTTGCTATAGGGTATGTGGGCTCACCAGAAAGAAATAGCAAGAGAGAGAGACAACGCAAGCCACCAGGTCCAGGACTCAAATCCCAGTCGGCCATGTGAGAGTGCCTTCAAGTGCCCTTGACTAGGTTTTAATGTATATGCCAAGGAAAGAATGAGCAGGTGACCTCAACAATGTTTTTGCTGTTCTGAATACACAAGGAACATACATTCATTATAGAAAATTTAGAAATTTTATTAATACATTTAAACATAAGAAAAAATTATAATTACTCACAAACCCATCATTTAGATATAAACATTATCAATGCTTTGATATGATTCTTTTCTGTCTTTTTGGATTTTCTATTTCTATTTCTTGCATTCCTGGAATAAACCCTATTTGGTAAGTATTCTTTGAATATAGTTTTAGGTTTGATTTACTCACATTTCTTTCAGGATTTTTATAACTGTGTTCATATCAGATTGGTTTGAAATTATCTTCTGAGTCATCATTTCAATTTTTGTGGCCTTTGTTTTTAATCAGAGCTATTCTAGCATCGTCAGATGAACTGTGACTTTTTTCATTTTTTTCTATGTTCTAGAATTATTTAAACAGAATAGAACTGATCTATTCCTGGAAGTTTAAAAGATCTTATTTATAAAACTGACTAGAATCAGTACCGTTTTTCTTTTTTGAAGCTAGTTTGTTGAAAATTTTCAAATTATTACATAGTTATTCATCTATTAATCAGCTTTCATAATCTGTCTTTTTCTAGAAAGTCTTTACTTACTGAAAACTACCAAATTTATTAGCATGAAGTTTTACAGGTAACATAGTTTTTCCAAATTTCTTTCCTGAGAATGTCACTTTTTAATTTTTTTCCTAAAATCATATAAAGAGGGGACCACCAGGTGTTATAGTGTTTAAGTTACTGGACATTCCCACATGGCTGATCACAGTTCGAGTCCCAGACCTGGTGACTTGCTTTCTCTCTCTCTCTCTCTCTCTCTCTCGTCAAATTTAAATAAATGAATTTATAAATAAAATAAATCGTTATTTTAAAAAATACTTATAATGACTTTAATAAAATCCCAAACCTCATAAAGTTCTTTCATGGCTGCAAGTTTAGATTCAAACTTTTCCAGACTCCAAAAAGTTGAGATCCCTAGTTGCAGGTTACGAACCCGAATGGAAGTGTCGGGACCACCTTTACCTGATACATCATGTCTGAAAGAAAGACAAAGGAAAACATTTTCCTGAAGCATTCACAACCATTTACAGCAAGAATTTTCTGTACTAGAATAACTTCCATAAAAATTCAGTCCACTGACAAAATCTTTCCATAACTAAACATTATTATTATAGATATAGTCATCTCTAGTATATATCATATAATAACTTATGTACAAATTTTTTTGAGATGTTTTAGTTATAAAGCACATGCGCTCACTAGAAATACAGAGACAGAGATTCAGAAAGAGAGAAATCATCCCCCGGGGGGATGGCCGCACTGCAATCCCTTCTCCTCCATTCTCCTCTTGGGATCTTGGGCACGCATGCACATGCACCCAGTGTGAGTTTAAGCCACCAGGTCCAGGACTCGAACCACGGTCGACTACATGGGGGTCCAGCAACATAGCCAATATACCAACTGATGGTCCCCTTATATACAAATTTTAATAGGGTAAGCCCCATAGGCTGTTAGATCCCACATGGCTGACCACGTGGTTAGAATCCTGGCCTCAGAAGCCTGAGAAATGTGCCAGTGCATGCCCCAAACGTGTTTGTGTGCCCCAAATCCTGACAAGATGGAGAAATGGAGAAGGGAAAATGAGAAATCCCCACCACTACCCCTGGGGGAATGGCCATGCCGCAATCCCTTCTCCAGTCTCCTCTCGGGATCTTGGGCATGCATGCACACGCACGCTGCATGAATTTCAAGTCACTGGGTCCGGGACGCTTACCGTAGTCAGCCATGGGAGTTCAGTGATATGACCACTACACCATCTGCTGGCCTCAAATACATAATTCTTCAAAAAAGAAAATGTGGAATACTGGCTCGGCCACAGTGTGCAAGCGGGACGGCACCCTGTGCAATGGCTGAGCCTGCTCGGGAGATCTGGGTTCAGTTCCCAGCCCGATGGGAACAGGCCAGGCACAGTGGCATGTGCCTGGGGTCCTGGCTAGCTGGGAGGCTGGAGCAGAAAGGATCCTGATATGGTAAGACCCTGTAACAACCTCCTATCTCTCCCCCATCTCTCTGTCTCTTTCTCTTAACCTCTGGTAC